TAGAAATATTATATTTGTTAAAGACAACAGAAAAAACAAACAAACTAAAAAACACTACTCTCAAGGTCAGCAGTATTTCAGTGACCTTGAGCCTGGCCTTGAATTTAGCTTTGCAGAACAGTATGATTTTGAATATCTGGGAAGACTTTGGTTTAAATAATGCTCCACTGGATTTATTTTTCTTAAAACTATATTAGCGTTACAGAGACTCTCAATTCCCCCCTTAATCCAATAGTGAAAGCCAGTTCTGCCAACATTCTTTCCTACTTATCCCTCCTTATCCCTGCTAATTTCATTTATATGTCTCCTTCCTAGAAAGTTAATTTCTAAACAGTTCAGCATATTTTTTGGGGGGAGGGATGGATGAAGACTTATGATTTGCAGGGGTGTAATTATCTATACGATGACTGCTTTCATCACAATGCTAAAGGAAATCTAGAACAGGGATTTTTCTCATGGTTTAGATCTTAAACGTAGCATTTTTAAACGGCTGTGACAGGTAACTCACACTCCCAAGGGATAACATGTTCATTAGCTGAAATACCCCCCCGCCTTTTTAAAACATTCTGTGTAGTCCTAACTAGCTCTCTTGAGTGCCCACACTGGAAACACTCAAGATCCATGAGGACAGTGTTTCCTTGCCAGATTAAGCACTTAGACATGCGCAGGCACAACAGGAAGTATTCAAAACCGTCTGGCCCAGACACAAACACCATAAGTCAGAGCCAGCATGCCGACTACTCGCTAACCAGCCCTGCTTAGGGAGACAATCTCTGCAGAACAGTACTTTTTCAATGAGATTGTCATGCCTCTTGTTAAAACAGCTATTAGTATTTAGCACAAAGCCCTCAGGACATACCAGATGCATGCAAATTAGCCACACTTACTCAGAATCCTAGATTCTAAAAGACAAACAACCCCCTCCGCCATACACCCTAACAAATAAACCTGCATTGGCCTCAGTACCAACAGGCGACTGGTAAATAAAAGGTAAATACCAGCTTCACATAACCTAGCAGAGCATGGGAAAATAGATAATCATTAATTCAGCACGAAGTTCAACAAACATGCATGCTAACACGTACCTGCAAGACTTAGTACAACATGTAGAATGTTCAAATCATCTCTAATTAGTCTCCCCTCTCGTGCAGCATTCCCTTGTTTATAAATAAAATACTTGGGACAGCGTAACAGAAACAGCTCCTTTCCTGCAGTCCACAAACTTTCTGAATTCAGGGATTACTGTCAATTCAAGCTTGCATGCTGACCACTATGCACCATTTCAAAAATTTCCAAAAACTTTACAAAGTGATAATTCTTCAGCTCACAATGACACCATAAAGTGATCTGAAGTCTGACTGTACATCTAGTACATCTCTCTTGGGATTACTGCCGCTGAAATATTAAACTTTAATTTAGCTTTTTTTTTTTTTTAAATAAAGAGTTCATCCACCTGGGTTAACTAAATTCTCTCTATCAGAAAGCAACGGCGTGCTTTCAGCCACGTGCTGACTGAAATGATGGTTTGGGTCAGACTTTAGACAAAATTATAATAACACGAAAGCACCGCTGCTGTACTGAAGCGGGTGTTGTTCGGGTTTTGGGTGGGGTTTTTTTCTTTTTCCTGGTTTGAAACAAACAAACTACCGTTTCCCTCAAAGGTAAGCGACGCGGGCGCGCCTTTAGCGGCGCAGTTCCGCTGCTGCCTGGGGAACCGCGGGGAGGGCGCGCGGTTCTGTGACCCTGGAGCAGAAGGGGATCTGAAACCGCAGCGCTATGCCTCGA